CCCCCCCCCCCCCCCCTCCCCAAACTTCCTGGCCTGGTCACTTCCTGCTTGTTTATACCTCCTCTGTCCTGGTAGGAGAGCGTTTCCTGTATGCTGTTTTCTCGTCTTCAGACGTGTGATGTGTCTCGTATATTTCAGCTTCTTTTAGCTGGTTCTCTTTCCTGCCAGTGTGGTCACGGCCTGTGTGTGATTTGGGGAAGGGTGTATGAATCTTTGGAGTCCGCGTTTGTGTGCCCTCCCCCCCCACCCCCAAATAAAGACTGCGGTGCTTTTGAGGAGAGAGAAACATTGCCAACAGTTCAAAATGATGAACTGAGCTCCCGTTTGGAGCACAGACACTTGCGATGGTGCTATCTCCTAATTCTCCTGTGGCCTTTTCTCCTCTCTCTGGTTTCTGTACACTGTGGACCATGTTTTCCTCCTAGCCGTTCTCTCCTTGCAGGACTAATTCTTTCTCCTCCCCTCATCCCACTCCCCCCCAAGTCTGTTTCTTACAAACAATAAAATCAGTATTTCCAAGTACCCTTGTGCAAGCTGTCATCGTTTGTGCATGTTTCCCAGCTGCCGTGAACAGTCATACATGTGAATGCGCTACTGTTGAGTCAAACTGGCATGTCCCACGGCATTTAAAAGTTTCTGGGTGTGGGTTATGGAATCTGACGTACCCAGAGATGAAACATGCACTGCTTGGTGAACTTGAGTATGACCTGACATCTTCAGCTGCAAACCTGCAAACTGCCATACCTGCAAAAACTATTATGTGAAATAAAAGACATGTCAGGTTCAGGTTATTCCAATACTTGGCAGATGCTTAATCTCCAGGAACAGATTTTTTTTCTTTTTTTGAAAAAGCAGGGTCAGACAGTCCCTGGAATAACTGTGGGGTTAAGGGTCTTGCTCAGCAATGAAAGCACTCTGCCAGCCCTGGGATTTGAACTGGCAACCTTCCCAATGACAGGCACAGTGACCTGAGCCACACAGCACCCCAGTAGAAATTAATTTAATACTCGTGACCTCAGAGCTGTTGTTCTGGTTCACGGAGTAATCATGGGTTCGTTATGTTGCATTATGAAGAAAATCAAAACTATTTCGGAGGAAATTGCGAATAAAGACAACACAGTACACAACCGCACAAGATGGCAAAAAGAGAATATATAGTACCAAATATTTTAAAATAGATATATTTTAATAAATAGGTGGGTGAATATGCCGATACGTAGGGAAAAAATTGCACTACAGAAAGATTAGTACAACTTTTACTGGAACATGGTGAAGGTGGATGTGAGAGTGAGGTCAGTGTAAAGTGTGTCTGAGCAGCTCTGCGTTTATTGTAAAGGGTATCGGATAGTTGCCTTGTAGTATTTCATTTGGGCGTATCGGACTAAACGTCTTCCAGTCCTTTATCAAATAGAGATTTATGAGCCTTTAAAGCTCATTCGTCGCCCCAGTTCCTTCGGTGTAGACTGCTCAAGGTGTTACGTCTGTCTTCACCTCAGGATATTTTCACCACGCCCTGCTCCAGAAACATCCCCAAGCATTGTAACAGTAACCCCCCTTCACCCTGTTCCCTCCCGGCGGAGGGCACTTTAACATCGGTACTCGGAAAAACATTTTTTCTGTGCTGTTTCTGCTCATTATAAGATAGAAGGACCCTGCAGTTTAATCCGCTGATCGTTTGCATTCACTGCTTATCATCTACACTTTTATTGCCACCTGCTTCTTTGTGATACAGTTCCTGTGTTATTTGATATTTTTTGTCTCCGATACAGTTCCTCTTCCCGTCCGGTTCCTGTCGTTATTGTCCCAGTCTGCTGCGTCCTCTCGTACCGTGTTCATGTGCACAAAATTCTCATTATACCAAGTACATCCTACGATAAATCTGAACATCTAAGTGCGGATCGAGAACATACAGCATGCGTAACGATCTTTGCGAGCGAAGCGTACAACTTTAAATATTGGTCTATTATTAAATATTAATCTGCCAGTCAAACATACCCTAGCAGCGGTCCCTATAAAATAAGTGCTAAATATTTATGTGAAAATGCAAATATGCAACATCTAGAGTGAGTGTTAAGAAGCTCTAAGGTGCGGACTCAAAGGGGTGGCAATTGCAACCCCTAACAGAGCCCTTGCCACCCCGCTGGAAATGGTAAATATATTGCAAGCTTCACCAAATCTGACCCATCTCATGTAAAAGTATACTAGGCATGCTGGAAGTGGTTCAATAGAACTGCAATAGATAACCTCTTCTTTAAGGATATTGCAATGTGGGGCCATTTTTATGTATTTATTTTGTCTCATATTAGACTGTAAAGTTCTTTACATATTGACACATTTTCAGGAGAAAATGAGTACTGAGAAGGTAAGTTATTTTTCATTTATTTACAAAAGTTATTAAAAACATTTAAGTTAAAATTTTATTCTTAAGGAATTAATTACTACTATAACTAAACTTGCATCTTAAGTGGTAGTAATGTTATTTTTTTTCAAAGACAAATATTCAGGTCTGTTTCCTTCAAAACCATACAGAAGAAACGACAGTATAATCGGATTTGGGCAAAAGTGTCTCGATCACATAAGAAAACCCACTTTGAGCACACTTCAGATGGAAGAGATGACTTTGTTGACTGTGGAAGCAACCATAATGTTGATGGTGAACTAGGTCAAGGACAGCTGGATTTGTTTCAAGACCCATACATGCTTACTGCACATTCTGACAGTAGTACCTTCTTGTCATGCTTCTTGTCATGATTTTCCTTCTCAAGATCAAGCTCATAATGCTGCAGATGTGAGCGATTCAGAATCAGAAAGTGAAGGACGTTATTCAGGCAGTAGTTCTCTGAGGGAAGAATTAGCCAGATGGGTGGCTATGTTTTATGTCAAGCACAATGCAGTTGACTCTCTTCTGAAAGTACTGGTAAAACATGGACATTCTGATCTGCCTACCACCTCAAGAACATTAATGGGAAACACACAGGCAATTCAAATACAAAATGTGTCAGGGGTACAATATGTTAAGTTTGATGTCAGACAAAGAATTCTAGATCATTTGCAGTCCTACCCTTTAACCATGCTAAAGTCCTTGAATGCTTTGGAAATTTCTTGAAACATGGATGGGCTACCACTGTTTAAAAGCAACAACCGAGCACTCTGGCCAGTTTTGTGCTCTATTGATCTTGACCCAGTGTCTGTCTTTCCATCATCGCTTGCAGTGGCTTCATCAAAACATACATCTATGGACTTCATTAGTGATACGGCTCGTGATCTGGCTAATTTAAAGCAGTACTCTGGTTATTATGGCTGTGATAGATGTACACAAAGGGGAAGATGGCTTGGTAGAATGATTTATCAGGAGGTGACAAATCTGACGCTGCGGACTGACCTGACTTTCAGAGAACAAACGTATGCAGAACATTTGGAATCATTTGGAAATGTCCTACAAAAGACAAAAAACAACGTTGTATAGCTGTTTTTGAAATAGCATGGTAACTTTGTGAAGACGTGGTGAGGACGTTAGAAATAACGTTGTCTGTCCTGTACCAAGGGCCCTACAAAATAACGCCAAAAGAACGCAAAAAAAAAACATTTTCACAATGTTTGTCAACGTTCAGAGGACATTGAAAGGATGTTGGAAATGACGTCATTATCCGGTACCGAGGACCCTACAAAAAAACGTCCAAATGACGTCAATTATAAACGTTTTCATGACATTTGTCGGCGTTCAGATGATGTTGAAAGGATGTCATTTTGTTAGCTGGGAGGCTGTGTCTTATTTTGTATAGAGACGGAACGAAGAGAAAAGGGGATATTTCCCCTTATTTATTCAACAAACATTTACAAATTCATTGTTTATTATGAGTGTGTACGAGAAAAAGATTTTTTTCCTTCATTTGTCGTATTTATATGGACCCCTCTGAGAAACCCTTGCTCACCCTTTGGCCCCCCCTTAAATAAAAGTCAAAAGTGTAATTCTGCCACTGCAGGATTGGAGAAAAAGTAAAAGTGATTGTGCTTTAACTTATGAGATCTCACTAAATCGGCGCATCTGAATTTCAAAGCTGCGATCGTTGTCGCGTGACGGAATGTTGTTTGTTGGTGTAAACCTACACCTTAG